TGTCGTGGCTCGCTATCATCCGTTCGATTAACGAGATGGCTCTGTAAGATGGGGGTCCCCGAACTTGACCGACTTTCTCCATTTTAGGAGTAGGAGGCCTTGCCACCAGCTCCAACTACGGTGGTTGTTTTTTACAGCTTTAATTAATTTCAAAGAAAAGATGAGAAACAAAATTACCTCAAATAATTAATCCAGTTGCCACCATTATTTTAGCGGCATTTTACTACAGATGGTATAATTGAGAGTAGCAAATAATATGAATAATTTAAAGATTAGAGGAGCTTGGGCTTGATCCATCAGTTTTCAAGTCTTGAAGCTCGATTATGACATTAAATCCAAATTCATTTCCAGGAGTGAAAGAGTTTTTGAGTTCTTCTATAGTTTGGGTTGTGTTAATCTTCTTGTCCTTCACATTCAAATTTGCCTGCTTTCAGTAAACAGACCTAATGGTTATGTGAGCCTTGTAAAGGTACATGAAAGTTAAGATTCGTGGACTGGGGATGACTTACCTTCTTTACATAATCAGCCATGGTTGAGCTAACTATTTCTTGTATAACAAACTTGGTGACACGGTCTTCACCGAAGATCTCTAACAGAAAACTCTTTGGGACCTGCAAAATTATACAATCAGATTTATTGCAATAACAAGGAAAAAAAAAGGAACATATTATATGTGTAACAACTAGGGTAAAGAGTAAGTTACCAAGCAATAGATGATAGATCCATGACAACTTGGTAAGGTGCAACTTGTGTGAGTCATCCTTGTTCCTTTATTTTTTAATGTTTTGAAATTACATGTCAATTAAACATATGGAATCTGACCCTATGAGAAAAATTATGATATTTTAGGACTTTGCATGCCTTACACAATATAAACATAACCATTAAATTTTCTCAAATTTGAATAAACTTTTCTATGCACTTAAAATCTTGCTGGCATCACCATCAACCATGTGGTTTGGTGGTAGAGTTGCCTATGCTCTTAGCCACAAGTCTAGGATTCAGTTCCCAGTCTCTACATACCATACAATCTAGCTGGAACTAGTGATAAAGGATTTACATGCTGTAAACAAGAATTCTCTGACATGATATCATTTGCAACATATTTTAGCTAACCTTTAATATAGAAAATCTAAGATGAAAAATTTTCAAGAATAAAAGACTGCATTCATGCAGACAAATACAAGTTCCAAATTGCAAGATATGGTGAATGAAAATTTTCAACAAACACACAGCGCACCTTGCAATTATGATTTTTTTCTTTATACCATAAGTTGAGAAATGAACTCAATTGAAAGATAATGGAAATAGAACTTATCTAAAGATCAAAGGATTGATAATGTTATCCAAAACTCAGGACAAGCCACTCACCTTTGATGTTTTCCCTGCATTAGCTTAGCAGAAATGCAAAATAAATATGGTCAGAACAGAATTCAGGCTGGATAAGTTCATCCACATGTCACTAACAAGGAGGAGCATAATTTAAGGATTGAATTTGATCACTAGATGTTGACAGAAAATGAACTTGATGCAACTTCAACAATTACCGCCTTTCTGCCTACGAAATCCAGGAACTGGTGGTGCTGTTCGTGCTAAATCTGCCAAAATCTTATCAAACACCTTCTGTGTATCACTGGCAGTCAAGTCCACTCTTACCTATTAATTAAAAATCACAGAAAATTTGACAAAGTAAAAACAGACAAATGCAAATGAAAAGGTAAAAGGAAACTCATAAGAATCATAGTAAATTTACCATTATCAGCATTAAGCTAAACAAGTGAAATTACCTTTAGAGAAAAACTACAGAGCTCATATTAGTTTCTTAACATCTTACATTTCAAAGACAAAGGCAATCAGAAAAAACCAGTTTTTAAGTTTCCAAACCACATAAATGTGATTAACATACCGAGCCAAGCCACTAGGACTTGGCTAAATACAGAGCTAATCTCTTATTCACCTGTACGTTATTTTGGCTTCGAGATTCTACAGTAACCTTAGCATCTTTCAAGATCAATGCATTGTCATCCGGATCAGAAACAGATGTCTCCAGCCCTAAAAAATTACTTCAATTGTTCACATTGTAAACATTAAAACTTAAAAAGGGAAAGGAATCAAACAACATGTTTTGTTATATATTTTTAAAGAGTCAAATTCACCTGAACCAACTGCAGATATTGACTTGCTCCTAAATCGAACAACTCTAATACGAAAATCACAAAATTATACTGTAATTCTTCTGATATTCTGTAACAAACAAGAAAACAGAGAAAATTAAGTATACCCGAGGCGAAGATTCTGCTGCATGAAGCGATGTTTCATGATTTGATTGCAGCTGCAGCCGCAACGAACGGAGATCTGCTGAAAAAAAAAAGGAAAAAGTTTGAGACAGAAAAGGCAAGATATTTAAAGGAATTATAGCCATGCTATTCGAGTAAGACTAGATTTTCTTACTCTAGGGTTTTGGAAATGCCGGAAATTCAAAGGAATTGTCGCCATGGCCGTCGACGCCATGCTCCCTCCTAAGCTGGAATTTCGAATGGAGCAGAGAACACGGGTTTATGGATAATGTTGTGAAACGGCGACGTTTTAGAGACATATTGGCGGGGAATTAAAACGCACCGTTTCGCCTCCCAGGGAACTGCATTATTTTTGTTCCGCTTCCTGCGCAGAGCAATCCATAGAAGAAGATAATGGAAATAGCCATTAGAAACCATTTCATGGGTTTAAGCCCCAAGGTTAGTTATCATCATCTTGTCTTTTTTCCATAATTTGTCTTCATTTTACATAACCAAATTCAATGCTCAAATTAGTATTCCATTTGATGAACTCTTAATTTCTTCACTTCATTTTCATCCGGTAATGTCATAAAGCTCTGATCTTGGTGGGAGTTTAAGCTGATTAAAGTTCTTTTCTTTTTTCTTTTTGGTTTTGCATTTATGTAGTTGATGAGTCATGAGTGCATTAAGATCCTCAGGTTTCCTGAAATTCAATGTCTTCATAGTTTTCAATGAGCTTGCTGCTTGCTGCAAACCAACTTCAGATGATAGATAAGTTGTGGATGAGTTTAAAGGTAGCTCCTTTTAGGCCAAAAAAAGTGTAGCTCCTTTAGATATACGGGGATAGCATTAACGGGTGTTTACTGATAGAACAGATTTGAGTATTTTTTCATCTAGTTTAGCTTTTGGGTTTCTTCATCTCCATTCTTCCCTTCTTCAATAACTCAACCCAATTCTTTGCTCAAGGTGTGAATCATCTTTTGATCGCAAATTAGTACTAATTCTAAACAATGAAAATGCAAGATTCTATGAAATATTGGTCACATTCTACGTAAATTGATGCCCATCTTCCCGGTAATTTCCATTGTTTTTTTTTTTTTTTCCTTTTTCTTAAATGCCTTTTTTTAAGGTTTTTTTTAGGTATTAATCAGATTTCTTATTGAACTATGGAGGCAACTATATTGAAATCAGTGGAATTTTGATGAGATCTTTCTACCATTTTTTTTTATTGATTTTCTACCATATTGCTTTTGGTTCTTTGTACTTGTTTGTCAAACCTGTGTACGGGGTTATCACTAGTATAAGTGTGTAATCATCTGGCTTTTTTGCAGATTCTTAACTACAAACCAATGGAAAATGTCTTTACTCCTAATATTTATTACAGGAGATCATGCTTTTTCCCTGCAATGAGAATCAATGCTCAAAAATTTTGGGGGAGGTACCCTTCATTTGACCACCTTACCTTTTGGCTAATGTAAAAATTAACCTTGTCATTCCGAATATATTTCCTCCAAAAATGTTTATCTTTTTCTTTTAGAATTAGTGAGATTTCCCATTTCCCTTGAGTTTTCCTGCTGATTAATCAACTTCAATTGAGGAAAGTTCTATAACTTGACATGTAGCCTGAGGCCTTGATCTTTCGATGATTTGTTTGTTAGAACTGAGTGAAAATTTTCTTTTTGAATAATTTTGGTCCAGTCTGCTGCAATTAAGTATCCAAAATTTCAGCCTTTTTCTTTTCTTCTGATTTCTTTAAATTTCTTATTTTCAGCAGGGAAGGCCATATAAATCATCAACCTATTTGTGCTGTATTATCAGGTCACTATCTGACCAAGTTTCATGCTATTGCTGCTGTGGAGTTCTTTTCTAGTGCTACATTTTAGACTTTTCTGTGACTTAATAACTTAGCTTGATTAGGTGTGGCGGATGTTGGAGTTTCTTCTTCTCAATTTGAGGACTTCTCAGTGACTAATAATGGTACTAATGGGGGGGAACTAAAGGTACAAAAATTTTGATACATTGAACTAATATGTAATATAAATGAAGTTTCAAGTTTGGAAGTGAAGTTTACTGATTATGTCATCACATTGAGGATGATCTCTGCATTCTTACATTATTTGTGTTGGATAATAGATAGGTTTTATCTTTTATGCTTATATTGAGAAACAATCAGTATGATCATCAAGTTTTACAATAAATTATGTTTCTTCACTAGATAAATGTAAAGGTATCTGGAGCCAGAACTCGAGCAATTTTTGATGATGTATTTGACAAAATGGTTGCAGAAGCCCAGCCAATCCCAGGCTTTCGAAGAGTGAAAGGAGGTACTTACAAATGAATAACTTGTCTTAATTGTTTACTAAATTTAATTGTCATGAAATGTTGCCATTTTTGACAATGGTCTTTCATCAGATCTTAACCAGTCTAGATTATGACCACTTAGCATGGAAGATCAATTTATTACCTTCGTATTTGCTGCTTGCAGTTTGTTGAGTGGGCCTTTTTCACTGTTTTCCACACATGCTTCCATGCTAATTTGATCATTGTACTTCTACGACAGACACCATCTGGAAGGAATCCAATACCACCACTTAGCTGAAATTTAGTATTTAAGGACCTAATTCTGACGACACTTAACAGAATTGATAACTGGGTTTTTGATAAATCACAAAATTGTGAATATAATGAGTATGAATATTGTTTTCCTATTTGCTTCATATTATCTTTTCTATTTCTCCTTGCCTGGCAAATTGTTAACTTCTCTGTGATCACGTTTCGGTTGATCTATCCAACATCCTTTGGCCTGCCAGGTCAAACACCAAATGTAAGTTCTTATATCCTATAAATTAAGCTATTTAAATAATTTCATTTTCATTTTTCTTTGTCGCTAATTGAGCTTTAATCGATCAGCAAAGTTTTATTCAGTTATTCTGTGTTCTTATTTGTTGGTGAGTCTTATTCAGTTAATAAATCATAAATCGTAACTCCTCCTATGCATCATGTAATGCTTAGCAGATACCTAGAGATATTTTGTTGGAAGTCCTTGGACCTTCAAATGTTTACAAACAAGTAATCATGAAAGTAATCAACTCTACCATAGCTGAATATGTTGAAAAGGTAACCAGCGTCTAACTACATTTTCTTGGTCATTTCGTTTATGCTATTTTATGCCATACCAGTTTCACACTGCATGGCATCAATCAACTGGAGCTGGAAAACTTACTTTCTTCTTTGACATGTCACAGGGAGGGCTAGAAGTCAGCAGAGACATAAGAGTTGAGCAAAGTTACGAAGATCTCGAGGAGATGTTTGAACCAGATGAAAAACTTAGCTTTGATGCAGTATTGCAGCTTCAATAAACAAATTGAAGTGTGTCTTATGTTTGGGCAAGTATCTTATTGTTGTGTAAATTCAACTGAGTCTTGAAGAAAACCTAGTTAATAGTGATGCCCCTCACAGAAGATGTGTCCAGACTCCTAGTTAAGCAACAACAGATTTTTCTTCTTTATTTTATTAGATATAAATAAAAATTCAGGTAGAACTGTTGGAAAATAATTAGCAGTGGGCAATATCCCCAAGTTAGCTTCCTGAGCTTTGTTCTTTTTCAATTTTGCCCTCAAACTTATCTTTAGTCTAATTAAGTCCGTGCACTATGAGTTATACCCACTTCAGGCCAATTTCAATTAGGGATGTTGCATGAACTCTCGTAAACTGTTGTGACAACTTCATTAATACCTTGCGAAGATCACATAAACTTATGTAGTAGATCTTCTTCTTCTCTTTTTTTTTTTTTTTTCATTAAATAATGTTATAATAATATGAAGTTTTAATAGTTTAAATGACTTTATAATTAATATAAAAAGCTTTTACACTTTCTTAGTAAAGGTTTGAACCTGTGCTTCCCTCATCATTTCTTTCACCCACCTATGTTAAAAAAGGAAGTTAACGGAAACAATATGTTCACTTTAATTTTTTAGCCTTAATTGGTCATAGTATATATTACACAAGGTGTTAGTTAGCCCAACAATTAAGTTTGAGGTCAAATTTGAGAACTCGAAAGAAGTTCAGGGGGTTAACTTTGGCGTTATCCCGGAAATCATTCTCCATATTTACTGTATTTCTTCATTCTTCTTCACGCTGCCATTTAACATACGCGCTCTACATAGAGAAAGGGAAGACTCCTTTGAGGGTTCCCTGCTTCCTGATCCCGATCAAAGACGCAATCATGGTAAATAACTGTTCTTTTGTTAGCAAATCGAAAGAATCAATCTTTAGGGTTAGAAAAGTTCCGGATTTGATTTGGTTTGCAATTTTGCAATTCACTCGTCAATCCCAACTCATAAAGAATGCGATTTAGGTTAAAATTCGATGCTTTGTTATGGATTTTAGGTTAAATTTAGTGAATTTAATGTGAGTGATCATGTTTGGAGGAAGACTCTCCTTGATTTCCTATGTTATGAATTGATTTTGTGCCGCTTGCTGTGTTTGATTGATCAGGTTCTTCTACAGCCAGACCCGTTTCTCAACGAACTGACCAGCATGTTTGAACGCAGCACAGAGAAGGGTTCTGTTTGGGTTACCCTCAAAAGATGTAGGTTGTTTTCTTTTTTTCTGCTAATTGGTGATGGAATTTTATTGTGAGGTGGTTAATGCTGTTGATTCTTATGCATTGTAGCCTCCTTGAAGTCTAAGGTGCAAAGGAATAAGATGAAGACTGCTGGAGAGACCATTGAGTATAGGTGCCTTGTTCGTGCCACTGATGGCAAGAAGACAATATCTACTTCGGTATGGTCTTTGTATTCCTTGGTTTATTTCATATATTCAGTTCAGTTCTCAGATTAATTTGTTCCGTTTGTAGCTTTTTATTATTATTATTATTATTTTTGGATTCGAGATACATTCTGATATGTGAGATTTGCATCTGACACTTCACATGTTACTGAAATTCGATATGTGTGGAAGGGGGACCACTTATCCTTTTGAAATCATGTGGGGTTGTATGGTGCTAGTATGAATGAGTATTTGGGATCTGGAGTAAATTTGGATTGGGAATTGAGTTATGCCCTGGCCATCATGGTAATCTTATGTGAATCAAAGTGAAATTTGGGATACTCATTTTCAGTTATGTATTTAAGGAAAAGTAATGTTAATGTAGTGGTGTAGTTTTTCGCTTACCAATTTGTAAGGAAAATGCGTCTGTTGAATTATCGATCGAAAATATGTTTTGGGAGACAAATAGAATCTTACTGCTAGCGTAATGTTTTATTGGTAGTCTGTATCTGGATGATGGTAACCAGATGGGCCATGCCCTCAATTGGTGGTTGAGGATTGATACCAAGTCATGTTGATTAAGTGAAGTCTGCTGGTCCTTCTAAAAGGTGTGCCGGGTGGTTGTGGTTTTACATGATTTAGGTTTTTTGTGTGTGAATTTAGGATGATAAGATTTACATTGTTATGGTAGTTAAATAGCATGATCTTCCTAAAATGGGGATATCAGGTGGATTCATCATCTATCTGTTTGCAACTTAAAATGATGTGTCGTTTTATATGTTCTCTCTGTCATGGTGCTACTAGCATTAGCAAGGTATGTTGTACTACTCTTTGTTAAGATGGAAGTGTAAGTGAGTCTCTACAATGCTCAAACAAGCAAATGTGTAATCGCTCATTAGTCCTTCCTTCTTTTATGAGCTAGTAGTGAAGAGCATTTCTACTGTGCAACCTCCACTAGGTTTTTTTTTTTTTTTTTCGAAATGAATCTACTTTTATTTAGTCAAGCTAATCTTCTCTTAATGCCCTATTGATGTGAAGGTTGGGATGAAGGATCACCAACGCTTCCAAGCTTCTTATGCGACCATCCTAAAGGCCCACATGACTGGTTTAAAGAAGAGGGAGAGGAAGGACAAGAAGAAGTCTGCACTAGACAAGATGGATGGGGGTTCAAAGAAGCCCAAGAGCAGCTGAAAAATTCTTATCAGTTCTGTACAAACCCAACTCCTTAATTTTCATCAACTTTCATCCTCAGAATTCTCAGATTTAAGAAATTACCATTATTAAAGAGTATGATTTTGTTTTTCCGAATACAAGATCATGGAAGGATTTAGGCATCAGAGCAGGTCGATATTGAGATGAAAGGGTTTGTTGATAGTAGTTGTAATTCTCTCTACTTCTTACCTTAAGTTTTATATATATGGCTTTCTTTCTATCCTAAAAGTGTATCTGCTTGTTTGATATCAGTATATTATACAAAATATTGTAATATGAAAAAACATTCTAACTGAATTATTATTGGAAACAAGTAAAAAAAATAGTTAATTTTGTTTATTACTAGGAATTAAAACAAAAATAAAAGATAAAATGAACAGTAGTAAAATTGTAACAAAACTGAAATTTTATCAGATGTCCCCTAAGGCCAAAGGGATAACAAAACTGCAATTAGGTTTAACTATTTTTTTTTTTTAAAAAGTTTAAGTTTGAGAGACTATCATATGGTCTACGTAAGATATGGAAATTAATTTCCTTGGCAAAAATAAAAAAATAAATAAAAAAATAAAGAAATTAATTTCTCAACTACATGTATTTATCAAAATTAATTACTGGATGACTAAACTTTGCTTCCTCTGGAAAACATCTTCTTGACTTTCGACTCAAAATTCCTATCGAAGCAACCCCAAATCCTCGAAAGATCAAAATCAAGAGAAACACCCATCTGGGAATCGTGGGTACAGAGAGATGGCTTACGTCGACCACGCCTTCTCCATATCGGACGAGGACATCATGATGGAGACGTCCTACACCGTCAACAATCGGCCGCCAATCAAGGAGATCGGCCTCGCCATCGCTCTTCTTGTGTTCGGCACCATCGGAATTATCCTGGGGATCTACATGACGTCCAACAAAATTGGCGGTGACCGAGGTCACGGTACGCTTTCCCTGTTTTCAGCTTCAATTTCTTTCTTTTGCTCTTATTCCTGTTTCTAGGTTAGGATTCTTCTTGT